TCTTCTAAGCACTTGACATGGATTAACTCACTTAATCCTCAGAACAGGCCCTTGAAGTAGGTCCTGTTACTAAGCCCATGACATCTGTGAAGAAACTGAGGCAAGGAAAGATTAAGCATCTCATCCAAGGTCATACGTGACAAAGCCAGGACTCAAATCCAAGCCGTCTACCTTCAGAGCCCTCTCCTGCCTGGCACTACTCGGCCCTAACATTTTGCTCTACACTAGACCTCCCAATAAATGGCACAAAATATTAGCCCTTCAGCCACTGGCTGTCTCGGCAAGGCCAGGAGTGGCTGGAACCACTTAGTTGCAAACAACTTCATTTGTTTGTTCTGCGGTGTCTTACGTTGTCATATTTTCTCTGTGTGCCGTGATGCGAGAAATGTTGGAAAGTGCTGCTCTATTCTGTAATGTAGTCACGACGGATGATTCAGTCAGTTTCGTGCTGTCTGGCTAGCTCAGGATAAATTAGCCACAGGTTAGCCCGGCGAGCTGATGATTTGGCCTCCCAGACGCTGCTCACTCCTCTGGGAGGCATCTCATAAATACAAGGGAGAGAGGGCAGGAGTGTGTCTGGATCTGCGTCAACCCCTCACCTGCCAGAAAGGCTGTGGCACATGTGCCCTCTGGGAACAAGTCGGCACCCTCATCTGCATCTGTGGACAGGGACTTCCAATCCAAGGAGAAAGCATCAGAGTCTGGAGTCTCAGAGCAGCCTTGATTTCTCTATCCTGGGAGGCAGTTCCTTTTTTAAAACAAAGTTGGCTTCTCCCCCTAGCATACAGGGGTGCCTGCATTTTGTATTAGCATTGCAACGATGTGTTCTTTTGGAGAAATGCCTGTTCTGGAGATGTCAGGGTTAGAGGAGTCAGCAATTATGAGCTTATAAGATAATGACACGTGTGTTTAGTGTGATGGCAAATTATACCTTAGAAAAAATTTTGAAGATTCAGAGTGAACTATTTTCCCATATAAACTTACCGCCTCAGGAAAACTGTGGTTAAAATCATAAATTACCAGGAAACTTCCAGTTTCCCCTAGAGAGTCAAAATAGAAATACAAGAAGAGGCATTGTTGAAATAATCCTAAATTGGAAACAGTGATTATTCAATTAAAAATAAGTGTAGTTACACTTTCTATTTATATGGTATCATCTGGCAGTTTTTAGCTGCAAGACTCAAAGAGAAATCTAGTAATCCTAGACTTCAGTATCCTCTTCTCCACGATGAGTTTTGCTGTCCTACTCAACAGCTAACCTTTTTCCTATACATCTCCAAAGAAGTGGCTTCCTCTCCTCTCCTGTGAATCTGCTTTAGCTTTTTGTGGCCTTTATGACCAGAAAGCTCCTTCTAATGTCTATCCTGAATCTTCTTGCTATGGTTTAAACCCATAAGCTGTTGCCTTGTTCTACGGAAAAACAGCAGCCACAGTGAATCCTTCACATTCTTAGGGAATATAACAGGTCAACCCCTGATTCCCTGTTCTTCCTACATAGCTCCATTTTGGGAGAGGTTTGTCTCTGGGCCCTCTCCAAATCCACGTCATAGTGGAATTCCAAAGTCTGCGCCTAAATGCAATGTGGTGGTGAATAAGGCGGTCTCTGTGGGTTCTACCAGTCTCCCTGATTCCCTGTTCCATTTGTAGAGACAAGGCTTGGCCAGACTTCTGGGAGGAAAAACTTGTGGTTTCTTCATTTACTACCCAGGAAGTGCAGGGACTACAGGAAGGAGTAGAAGAGGTACTGCTTGGAAAGGATGAGATTGCTCTGGACACCACTGCATGCTGGCCTGGGATCTTGGGCATCTGGGTTAAGCTTTCTTAACCTCCTCCTTGATGTAAGGGAAGATGGTACCTGCTACACACAACCTCATAGGATGTTCTTAAGATCAAAGGAGATGTGGAAGTCATTGAAAAGCTCACTTTTCCCTCAGCTCAGCCCAGAAGATTAAACTGATTCCCCCTTGGCCCAGAGCCCGGTGGCCGAATCCAGCTGGGTGAGACAAGGGGGTTAAGCCCGGGAGGCAATGGTCTGGTGGCTGGGCTACACCCAACTGAGTTAAAGGTTGCTGACCACTTTACAGTTTTGTGATGTCTCCCCTTTATTTCCTGTGTCCATAGACTCAATGTGTGTGACAAATCTTACGCAGAGAAGGAAAAAGACAATCACCTACTGGGTTAATGTAATTTACTGCACAAGACCCGAAAATACCCATTACGGTGAATCTTTGGATCAAAGCCTAGCAAATAGAAGACTGCCATCAAAATACAAATATTTTACCTGCAATGGGTAATCCTTTGACAGCTGTCTCTACATTGCCACCCATAAGAGTGTTAACTTCCTAGCAAATAGCCAGGCCCTTGGGGGATGGTACATACTGTTTTTAGAGAATGCCGGGCCAACAGGCAGTTTGGAGTGGAAGAAAGGACATTCAACTTTGGCCCCAGATTTGCCATTTGTGAATTATGCGACTCTAAATACCTTGGTTAACCCCTTCATTTTCTCTTCTGAAAAAAAGAATTTAAGGATGCACAGTATACCCCACGAGGTGGGTCTGGATGAAATAGCAGCGTGTGGATGTTCAATGCGCTTTATAACCAGGAAGGGAAATGCACAGTGTTGGTCATTGTCACGGCTATGGGTTTCCTAGGATCCAGAGCCAGTGGAAAGAAGTGTAAATTATAAGCTAGTTATTTTGCTAAGGACATGGATGTGTCTGTGCGTGGTGTGTGTGTGTGTGTGTGGAGGGAGGAAGTCTGTAAAGAGTGTCAGACACCAAGATCAACAAAACCATAATAACCGCTTGCATTCTGGAGCCTCTGCTGGGTGCCAGGCACTGGGCTAATGCCTGTCTCCATTACCTTGAGCTTTCATGACAACCCCAACAGTACTAGTGATATTATTAGCATATTCGTTTCTTTGAGAAAAGGTGCTCAGAGAGGGCAAGTAACGGTCCAAGGTCACATAGCTAGGGAGGGCTGAAGCTGTGACTCAGGCTGGGTGACTCTGGGACTCAGGTCCTTTGCATTTGCTTGCCTATAGGTCTCCTTCCAGGTTCTCTACTCCACAACCATCATCAGGGAAGCCCTGGTTTAAACAGGAGTCAAGTGGTTCTTGGTGCTGCTCCAACTCAGTCAACAGACAGCAATCAAACGGGTTCCCTGGCTCTTCACTAGGAGGCTTCGGAGATCCCAAATGAGAAGTGACCATCCCATATTTGATGTTACCCCAAAGTGCCTGTTCCTCATTTAAGGCATTAGTGGTTGTAACAGAAATAGTAATATTTCAACAACTGTGGTGATTAGTTACAGAAGGAGCCAAGTGGCAGTTCATTTCCATGTAAAAAACCCTCCCTCCAGGCCCTTCCAGGCACCCTGGCCTGTGGTGACATGTTAATTCAGACGAGATTGGGTGCATTCAGGGTGGTATGGCCATAGACAGTGCCTGTATATTCCCTGCCCAGCACCAGCTGGCATGGGTGAGCTTGTATGACACAAGCCCTTTGAAACTCAAAGAGCTTTTCATCAGCCTGCAAGAAAGAAGACAGTAGAAGAAAAGTAACAGGAACAAGAGCAAGTAGGGGTGGTAGAATTCGCTCTTTCTACACAAGGGGATGGTACTGGCCCCCTCCTTTCACTGGAGAAGGGGATGGGGCTGGAAGGAGACAAACAAGCATCCTGGAAGTCCACACTTCTCTTCAAACTCCGGAGTCTCAGCCCAGACTTGATTTGATGTCTCATGCTCATTTAACTTTCAGCCACTGGGCATGTGTGACTTGGAAAGAAGAATGAGGGGTGATTTGTTTCAATCACATAATCCTTTATCCACAGGAAATGGAGGGACCATTGGTTTCCTCTTGAGGCCTCCCAAACCAGAAGGCCAACTTTGTAGGTGTCCAGTTTCACACCCCGGGCGTCTACCATACGGGACCAATGGGGCAGACGGAAAGGAAAACATCCCAAGACCCAGCTGGGGTCATCTCCTGCTCCGTGGGAGGGTTGGGGACCAGCCAGGGCACAGGCTGGGCCAGGGCAGGGAGGGCTGTTCCCGTGTGGCAGGAACCGAGAACAAATGTGGGTGAAGTAGACGTTGTTTAATTTAGCAAAGGTAATGTCATAATTGTCTCTTCAGCAACCACAAGGTACAAACTCTGGGAAGGAAGGCGGTGTGCATGCCCATATTTAAAGATCCATATATACGCATGAGTATTAACAATTCAAAAGGCTCTCTCTCTCTCTCTCTCTCTCTCTCTCTCTTTCTACAATGCTAAGATTCTTGGCCTACAAATCACTGTTCATGTTAAAAACTTTTCTGAAGCTACCCAGTTAAATACAAGATAAAAACAGAAACAAAAACAACCAGGCTGGGCACGGTGGCTCACACCTGTAATCCCAGCACTTTGGGAGACCGAGACCGGCAGATCACTTGAGCCCAGGAGTTCGAGACCAGCCTTGTCTCTACAAAAATACAAAAAATTAGACAGGCATGGTGGTGCACACCTGTAGTCCCAGATACTTGGGAGGCTGAGGCTGGAAAATTGCTTGAGCCCAAGAGGTGGAGGTTGCAGTGAACCAAGATCATGCCACTGCACTCTAGTGTAGGTGACAGAGTAAGACTCAACCATATTCTGCCTTTAATTTCCCAACTTCTAAACCCCCTTTCTCTTCTCCTAAGCCTTGGATCATGCCCAGGACATAGTTTCTGTACATTTGCCCCTGTGGAGAAAGATCTTAGTCAACCAACAGTCCTTATTGATGTAATAGACACTACCATGTCTATTGCAGGTCAAAGCAGAGGAGTGCCTGTGTTAAAATGAGGCAGTCGTGTCCCCAAAGTGAAAAGAGAAAAAGTACAAGTGGTAAATGCTGAGTTGAGGAAGGCACCGTGCTAACCAGAAGCCTGAGACGATCTGAGCTGCTTTCCCTCACCCAGAGTGCTTTCTCTGTGCCATTCTTAGTGACTTCCCACATTTAACCTCATTTAATGTTCTTTCTTAAAAAAAAAAAAAAAAAGCTTCATGAATTTGTATGTCATCCTCACACAGGGGCCATGCTAATCTCTGTATTGTTCTATTTTTTAGTATATGTGCTGCTGAAGCAAGCACTCCTTATTTATGTTCTTATATTTTATATCACTAATTCCTACAGTTATTGGGTATTTACCATGTGCCAAGTACTGTGCTAAGCAGATTACTTACATTTTCTCTTGGCTTCGTGATAGGCTGGAATTCCTTTCCTGTTTTTCAGATGAGGAATAGAGGCTGAGAGGCATTGACTGACGGCTTGAAATCACAGGGCTCATGGTTAGGCTCGTGCTTAAGGCTCCATGGCCCCTTGACTACAAATCCTCGGCACTTTTTATTGCACAGATATGGCGCTGATAGCAAGCCTGTGAAATAGGTATCGTTCGTCCTGTAAGTCAATGGGAAACTCAGGATGTAAGAGTTCAAGGGATTGATTGCTCAGTTTTCTCAGTAGGAAATGGCAAAGCCTACTGGAACTTGGGTCTTTTGACTATAAGTTCAGTGATCTTCTTCCTGTGACCCATGCAGTGGTCCCTGGTCAATGGCAAATCCGACTAGTCCAGCCTTCTTGCCTTTCTGTCATTACCCAAGCTAGGCATCCCCAAACTATGGCCCGCAGGCCGCATGCGGCCCCCTGAGGCCATTTATCCGGCCCCCCGCCGCACTTCAGGAAGGGGCACCTCTTTCATTGGTGGTCAGTGAGAGGAGCACAGTATGTGGCGGCCCTCCAACGGTCTGAGGGACAGTGAACCGGCCCCCTGTGTAAAAACTTTGGGGACGCCTGACCCAAGCCCTGAACTCAGGTGCTTGGACCTTCTTAGTCCTTGGGCTAAGGAAGCTAAGTCTCATGATCCCCCAAGACAACGATCATCAACACTTTCCCATGCATTTCAACCACAGTTGTCCTCACCTGGTTTCACTACATTATTGATCCCTCAGGCTCCCTCTTGGGTTCTTTTCCTTCGAAGTCCCACCTCTCTAGAGGTATTTCTCACCTCTTTGGCTCATGACTCTTCTTGAAAACTCCAAGCTGTTTCTCCCTTCAGTTTTCTGCCCTGGGTGACACATGAGAATCCATGCTCCATTCCAGATGGGGTCTCCCTAGAATCTGAAAATTCCAGCTGCCCTTTGAAGGACCCATGCCTCTCTGGTGGGTGGATAACCCAAGGGGTGCTCTCCTCTGCACATTCTCTCGGCCCATCCCCACTCCTGTTGCTCCCACCTTGGGTTCCCCATCCTCCTGGAAAAGGTTTGAGGCATGATAGAGTTAACGCAATCCAACTCTTGCCTGTGAGGGAGAGCTTGGCACTACTTACAAACCTCCTCCTCACCAGGGGGGCCCTGTTCTCTATCATCTTCTGCTCCCTCTCGCCAATAAAATGACCCATTTAAACCATCTTTTTCTTATTAACAAGCTTCCTACTAAATGGCTTCAGCTGTGCTTGTTGATTTATAGGGCTTAGAAAGCACTGCTGAGCCTTGGCTCTCCCTGTGGGTCCCAGGGCCTGAGTGAATCATGTGCTCTGATGAGACTGTAAGAGGGCAGAAGCTCCCGTCCAAGGGGCGGCCCCAGAGGGAGTTTCTTTTTTTTTCTTTTCAATATTTTAATTACGGAAATGGCCAAACACACAAAATTAGAGAAAGCTATACTATGAAACCTCTTGAACCATCACTTTGTCAATCTTGTTTCATCTGCTTCTCCCTGCTTCCAAACCACCTCACTAGCTAGATTATTTTAAATTAAACCCAAAATATCATATTCTTTTATTCATGGCTATTTTAATGTATTTTCTAGGAGAGAAAGACTAGCTGGTCTTTTAGCATAACCACAACACTATTGTCGCATCTAAAACTATCAATAATTCTTTCCTTTTTTATTTTTTACTTTTTTAAAAATTTATTTATTTTTTATAGAGATGGAGTTTTCACCATGTTGGCCAGGCTGGTCTTAAACTCCTAACCTCAACTGATCCACCCATGTTGGCCTCCCAAAGTGCTGGGATTACAGGCGTGAGTCACCATGCCTGGCCAACAATAATTCTTCAACATTATCTAATACCTACTCAATTTTCTTGATTGTCCCATAAATATCTTTTTATATTTGATTCATTTAAATCAATCCAATCAGTGTTCCAAACTGCATTTGACTAATATGACTCTTACGTGTTTCTTTTTTTAATCCATAATAGTTTCCTCTTTCTCTCTTTTATTTCCCGGGGTAACTTGATGTAGACAAGTTCCTCAAAATTCTGTGCACTGTGCCGCCACTGACAAAGAAATACTGAAAGCACCCTTATCAGCAGAGCCCTTCCTTGTACTATGGATTCAGTGATTCCCTTGGGGATGGCCCTAACCCACAGGCCTCCACCCTCTGTCCCTCAGAACGCCTTTGGAAGGCTAAATCATCTTGCTCCAATGCCATCTGCAATAATGGGATCCTAAAGTGTTGAGCAGTCGCTAATCTACTCACTCCAATAATGACTCACATTTGTTAATAAGCACTGGCCACAACCTAATAGGATTATTATTATTTTTTACTCTGTATTGTATAAATGAGGAAATGGAGGGATAGAGGAACCTGTTTTACTTATCCCAATTGGTGGATATGGGCTTTGAAATGGAATTGTCTGATGGACACATCCACTTGCTCAATCACTGAGAGACCCTGTCTCTGCATACAAAGTCTCATTTCACGCCAGGAGCTTTGCTGGGCTTCCAGGCCCCTCTCAAGCAGGACCAGCAGGGAAGAAGAAATCTTGATTAGTAGGATGTGTCTGTAGTTCTGAGGAAAGGTGAGAGCAACAGAGAGCTGGGGATCTCCTGCAGATTCCCTTTGTCCACGCTGGACTGGTGCCCATCTCTATGCATTGCCTGAGTCGGGCAGTGAACAGGCTTTCTACCCTCTCTTTCATAAGTCTCCATGAACCATTATTACCACATGCTCTCAAGCCCACACAAATATCACATGCACATGCCCTCAGATCCATATCACGCACTCTACCCAGCCACTTGGCTGAAAGGTCAGCCCCCATATGGCTCATTCCTACAAATGCATGCTTGCAACACACACACCTTCCTATACTGAGTAAACACAGATCATGGAGGCCATGGAGGAGGACAGAGGAGCTGGTATTTTCCCAGTGGCATCCAAAAGGAAAGGTTACCTGATTTCAGATAGAAAGGTTATCTGTTTGTCTGCCTACCTATCCATCCATCCATCCATCCATCCATCCATCCATCCATCTTTCATAGGTCTTCTTAAGCCCTGGAAAAGACAAAGGCTTTTGAGCTCCTGGTAGACCCAGGGAGTCTGGATGGGGCTAGAGGGGTTATGAACAAGGCCAGCGCGGGGAGAATGGAGTGGGGTGGGAGCCTGCTGGTTAAATAGGGCTAAATCTAATTCCTCCCATCTGAAGGAGGGGAGCTCTTATCTGTGGTTCTAAGTGATAGAAAAACCCCAACTGCTAGCAAGATAATCCAATTTCCTTTCTCCCTTGTGCTGAAGGGAACGGCCCTGGCCCTCCTGCTCCAACTTCACGCTGGGTCTCAGTCTGGCTAGACCTCTTTCCGCCTACAGCAGAATTCATATCAAAGCTTCAGCCCCCCAGGGTTCATTAGGAGGCATTTATTTCTGCATATTCTTGGAGGGCAGGAGGGAGGATAACTTGATTCGCAATGCAAATTGCTTGGCTGTAATTTCAACTCTCCTTCCTTTCTCACAGGGAGATTTTGCTGGTTATTAAAAATATATGATTGCCTCCAAAATAGCAGTGACAGCCGCTCTGCTGCACAGGGCCAGGTGCTGCTATTTGAAGGCTATTGAAAGATATGGAATGGATGCCCGGGCAAACGCAAACGGAGTCAGTCCCCTGATCCTGTGTCAGTGTATAGACTCCAGATCATAGGGATGCTGACCAGGGTCTGGGGCCAACTGGGAGGACTCAGCCTATGCAGTCTGCAGCTCAGGGTTGCCTTCTGCTGCCGTGGGACACCCAGCAAGGGTTTCTGAGCTCTCAGCTTCCTGCTCTGTAAAGTTGGGGGTAAATAAGGAGCTGAACACACAGCAGCTGGTACACAGTAGGTGAGCAATTGGCTGGGCAAGCCAGGCTCTCCCCCTCCATAGCCCTACTGTCTGGCTCAAAGACACCCTTCCTCATCCCTCTGCTTTCCCCATTCTGGGCTACTGAGACCCGATCCATCACGAAAATACTGCCTAGGTCTTCCGGTCATGATGGACATCTGACTTGGTCTTTCCTTCTCTGTATTACCGTGGGAACAAAGCACCCCCCAGAACTATCTAGGCCTTTGCCTTTCACCGTCCTGTAGACATTGGTCAGTGCATAAGGGGAAGGGAGTGGGCAGGACCTATGGGATGTGAACATTGAGCAAAGCCAACACTTTTTTAGGCCAGACAGGAAGACAACTTCCTCCATGAGTCTGAGATGCTAACCTGGGATTCTCCTGGAAGGCTGGATGGCGGCCCCTGCAGGCTTAGGCCAGCTGGAGCCCCAGGATGCTCCAGCTCCAAGCTGCAGGGATAAAACTATGATGCCCTCTTCATATAAACACATAATCACAGAGGAGCACAGGCTGCTGTGTACAACTGTGTAAACCAAAAAGGATCTGAGAGACATCTCAATCCATTTAGAAAATTTATTTTACCAAAGTTAAGGACCCACCATGACACAGCCTCAGGAGGTCCTGACAACATGTGCCCAAAATAGTTAGAGTAGTTTGCTTTAATACATTGTAGGAAGACAGAATACATTACTCAATACATGTAAGGTGGGGGCTTCCAGGTCATAGTAGATTTAAACATATTCTGATTGGCAGTTGGTTGAAAGAGTTATTATCAGTGGAAAAGAATATCTGGATTATGATAAGGGGTTATGGAGTTCTAGGTTTTATGCAGGTGACGGCTCCAAGTATCAGGCTTTAGAGAGAAAAGTAAATGTTCGTATCAAATTTAATATCTGTATTGATGTGAATGCTGGAGGAGCATGAGGCATGTCCAACCCCTACTTCTGGTCATGGCCTGAATCAGTCCTTCCGGTTAGATTTTAGAGTGCCCTGGCCGAGAA